ACAATTACAAAATAAAAATTTTCCTTCCATGACGTTCCTTACTAGGAACCTAGTATCCACTCCAAATTTATTAAAAAAAAATTACTACCATATGTATCACCCTATGTTGTTGCTCTGGGGGTCCTACTCAACAATAGTTTCCGTCTGCTTTTCAGTTTTCACACCCAGGAAGGTCCACTTAGTGATATTTAGTATTTACGCGCGATCCATTTTTTTATTTCAACAATTTTCAGCTCCTGAATTGTGGATTCTTTTTTCGCTCAAAAACAAAACGAAAAGCTGGTGTGCGCTTGATGTTGTAGTTTGTGAACGCTGAACAGGTCCCGTTTCACCCATGAATAAATGTTGAAGAATCTGCAACATCTCGTATTCTCTCTTGCAATGAAGAGGAAGAAGCGAGAACGTCACAGCCTCGTCGGAGGAAATCACGCTGCCGATCCCTTCGCCAACGTGCTCCACCTCTTCCTCCTCCGCCGGCGTCACCGCCTCCTCCATCTCCTCTCCGCTTCCTTCGGTTGCCTCCTTCTTGTCCTCGCCGCTGTCTCTGTCTTCTCCCAGCCTCCCGCCGCGACCAATGAACTCCTCCGCCACCAGTCAGCCGTAAGTTCACGTACTTGTCACGCATTCGTTTTCTATTGTTGAGGGATCGTTGCGATACGTGTGGTTGCGATATTGATGTCCTTTGCTGTTTTTTATTGTTATTTAATTTTGTTTGGCTAAATGATTGTGAAGCTCCGGTACTCGATTCTGATGCTCGCTCCCGCTTTCCTTTTAGTTCAACACTGGAGAAGCTGTTGTCGATTCTGATTTGGTGTGTTTGTTTGTTTATTTGGTCTAGGTGAATACTGAAGCGACTCTCGTGGCGCATTTGAAGGTTGATCAAAAGTCGTTTCAAATTCCGGTGTGTGATTTTGTAAATAGCTCTCCCTTAATTTTTTTGAGTTTTTCTGATCTCGATTAGTTGTTTGCTATGGTAGTATTGAGAAATTGATTCTGTTCTGTGTCGTGTTTGTTTTAGGATAGTGTAGGGAATTTAGGTCGTCATTTGTGGAGCTCAAGGGAATCGGAGTTCTACTTCGGATGCAGCAATGCCAGTCATAAGTTTCTAAGTAATGCATTCAAAATTCGAATCCTTATTTCAAATTTTGAATTCAAGAATCTCACTCAATCCGAATCTTTATTTCAATTTTAAATTTGAGTCGGTATTTCAGTATCGCATTTCATTTTATGGATAATTCAGATTTTGATTCTGAATTACAGTACCCTTTATGATTTACTCTTATTTGGGATCATTAACATATTAGGAATTAAAAATCAATTATGCAATTTATCATCTATCGTCGCTTAAGTCTCCAGTTCGCAAATATGATGTTTGCGGATTTTCATAAAGTAAAATGATTCTACCTTATTCTTAAGACTGATCATAGATTTCAAAACTAGTTTTTTTTTTAAAATGATTTCAAAACTAGTTTATTTACAGAAGTTTGGGTTATGTTTTGATCTATTCCCTGGGAAGGAGGGAAGAATTTTATTGGCTAGAACCTTTTCTCACAAATAGGGTTAGGTTCTCATACTGTTGTTTGATTTAAAGGCTCATAAATGACAAGCTACCTGTTCTTTTACTTTTTCCTGTTATTTTTAGACGCTTTTCTTGACTAATTTTAAGCTGCTGACCTGATTTGATGTTAGCTATGTTATCTATGTTGTAGCTGCTAATGTAAAAACTCGCCCAAATCGATACTTGGTGATTGCTACCAGTGGAGGCTTAAATCAACAGAGGACAGGGGTAAGTCTACTGAGCTTAGACATTCACCCAACAGCTTCAGTTTTGGTTAGGTATTGAAAGAAAGAAAAGTGGGTAGGGAAGGGAAACTAGGAGGGGACAGCTGTTCGCATTCTATGTCTACAAGTTGATTTTAACTCAGGGTTGTTTTAAGGGTTGGCAAGTTACTGCTATAGTAAATAGAAATGCTGGAGGTTGAGTTGATGAACTAAACATTCACTTGGGATTTTTTAACTGTGTTCACGGGTATCAGGTGATTGCATTAATTTTATTATGGCAGGTTAATTTCTAAGATTCGATATCCTTCTTATTTACTTTTATGGTTGCAGATAACAGATGCTGTGGTTGCAGCATATATTCTGAATACAACTCTTGTCATTCCCAAGCTAGATCAGAATTCTTACTGGAAAGATAAGAGGTTTGCTGTTAAATTTTACCATTAAGTGTGAAGGGAAAGTGTACTTATTCTGTGCATTTACATGGGATATGTGTCTGGTGCAGTAACTTTGATGAAATATTTGATGTTGGCTGGTTCATTTCATCCCTCTCAAAAGATGTTAAGATTATCAAAGAACTCCCATCCAAGGGAGGTAAAGTTTGGACTCCATATCACATGCGTGTTCCAAGGAAGTGCAATAAAAAATGCTATGAGAATCGTGTCCTACCTGTTTTAAATAAAAAGCATGTAAGTGTGCAATTGCTTACAGGTCAAGTGTGTATTTTGCAGGAAGATATCTTACATACTTCCACATGTTTGAGATCCTGAATATTGTTTTGTTTTAAATATGTTTCGCTTACAGAGAAGGGGTATAAATGCAATGGGTTAGATAGAAATCTTGGACAACATTTGAGTAATCTATTTAGCTGTTATGTTACTGTCTTGTAGGAGGTAGTGAAGGCCAATGGTGTAGGCTGGGCTGTTGAACTTAGTCTTATATTGTTGCATAAGGGACAAATCCAGTTTGATGGCCTGTCTGGCTTGGAATAATATCTAGGTTAAATTCTGTTACCCTGTTAAGGCGTTACACTACTGGAATTCAAATTTGTTTCTATGAGGTCAAAACAGAAATATTATGTTGCAGCCAAAGACATTTTTTCTGTTCAATCATACCTGGAGACCAGGAGGGTGGGAAGTTACTTATACTTTATAGATACTGATAAAGGGACATAGGCTAATCAAATGTAGAATATGGCAACACATATGTTTAAACTCGGGAAAGGGAGAAAGGCAAGTGTGATAGAAAAGGGCATTATTAGCTCTTGTCAGCCTGCTGTCATTCTTGAGTTTGGTGGTCAAAATGATTGTCTTAATAATCATGAATTAACCATGATGTCTAATTTCTAATTTTCCTTTTTTTGAAGTTTAATGCAAGCCTACAATAAATTTTCTTTTTTGAACTAACAATTGCCTACTGTCCTTATCATGATGCAGGCTGTGCAGCTGTCAAAATTTGATTACCGGCTTTCAAATAGGTTGGAGACAGATTTGCAAAAGCTTAGATGTAGGGTCAACTATCATTCGCTAAGGTTCACTGATCCCGTTCGTGAGATGGGTCAATTATTGATTGAGAGGATGAGGATGAAAACCAAGCATTTTATTGCCCTGCACTTGAGGTAGAGGTTGCTTTGAATCTATAATTATTTAAATCATTTTTGTTATTCTATGTTTCCGTTCACTGAACTTGGTTTCTACTATATTTAAATGGTATTTTGATATTTTGATGAATTTCAATGTTTTAAAGTTGAATGCGAGCTTCATTAACACAAGTTAGTGTGTGTTTCACAGATTTGAACCTGATATGCTTGCATTCTCTGGATGTTATTATGGTGGAGGAGATAAAGAAAGGAAAGAACTTGGTGCAATCCGGAAGAGGTGGAAAACTTTGCATGTAAGGCCATGTCTTTTTGCGAAGAAACATCAATCAATTTTCCAACTAGCTTCTGAAGGATTATGATAGTTTTGTTTTGCAATGAAATGCAGGCAAGCAACCCAGACAAGGTGCGAAGGCATGGCAGATGTCCACTTACTCCTGAGGAGGTTGGTCTAATGCTGAGGGCATTGGGTTTTGGAAGTGATGTTCACATTTATGTGGCATCAGGTGAAGTATATAGGGGTGAAGAAACATTAGCCCCTCTTAAAGCACTCTTCCCAAATTTCCTTTCAAAAGAGACCATGGCGACCAAGGAGGAGTTAGCACCATTTTCAGCATATTCATCTCGCATGGCTGCATTGGATTACATTGTTTGTGATGAAAGTGATGTTTTTGTCACAAACAACAATGGAAACATGGCTAGGATGTTGGCTGGACGAAGGTATGCTCTGCCCTTTCTATCTTGGCTTGAGCCTGGAAATGTTTCAAGGGTAAATCCAACATTAAGAACAATCTTTCTAATTTTGGTTTTTGTAATTTGCTCGTTTATCTTTTGTTCCTTAACATCAAATGGTTTAATATTGAAGTTTCTAAAAGGAATTGAGAGGTAGGTCCATTTTAATCAGAATAAAGAATGAGTGAGATTGGACTTGCTCCCCATATTTTCCCTTCACCCTTCACTTTCTCTGTAGTTAAGACATTTGTTGAGGTGGTATTAGGACAGATTTTTTCTTATTAGTCCATTCAAAATTCGACCATAACCTCACAAGTGAGACAATACTAAGAGCAAAGCTGGTTTCTGCCTTTTTAAATATATATATATTTGTCTGTTGCAGGAGATACTTTGGACATAAGCCAACAATCCGACCAAATGCAAAGAAGCTATACCAGTTCTTCTTGAACCGAAGCAACATGACGTGGGAAGAATTTGCCTCTAAGGTTCGAGCTAGTCAGATTGGCTTCATGGGAGAGCCAAATGAGGTGAAACCGGGAAGAGGTGAGTTTCATGAAAATCCATCATCCTGCATATGTGAGAATTCTGAAGCAAAGGCGAGAGGAGGTCCAACCTTACAAAACCAAACTCCAGGAGAACTTAAAAATGAGGAGAATAACAAGATGGATACTGGTGATGCTACCGACGAGCAGTCCACTGAGGATGAACATGATTCATCTGATATGGTGGATTATTCGGAGACTACTGATGGAACTAATATCAACACCATTCAACTTAAATCAGACCAACCAGAAGTTGAAGAGTTCTTTTCAGACTAGGTGCAGAAAACTGTATTCAATTTCCACTAACAACAGTTTCCAACTATCCCCAGTGAATTTTTTCTCAAATTCTTTGGTTCTTTCAAGATGAAGCCAAAGGTTTTTGCTTCTTTAGCCTACTCATACAGATGATACAGCACAACAAAGCACTCTGCACATGGTATTGATCAGTTGCAGTTTCTTGTAAATGTAGTCGCATAATTGGGTCCTGAAGGTTTTACTACTTCCCTCCTGGTAAAAGTTCCAGTCAGCTAAAAGCTGTTCATCATGTCTGGCAATTATACGAGCTTTGACGCTTTTCTAGTCTTGTTCAGCTGCACGATCCTTGTCAGAGGACATAGAGGGCAGAAAACACGGAAGAGATACTAGTTGGTTTTTTTACTATTAATATTGTTTCACGATTTTGGGTTGTACAGGCTACATCTCTCATTTCTTAACTTAATTAACTTTTCACTCAAATTAGTCACATATGCTGCTCGATTGTAAAATCAATCTGTTACTTTAAGATGTGTTAATTTATTATTATTATTATTATTATTATTATTATTATTATTATTTTAATTATATAATAAAAA